TGACATAGATATGTATCTATATATAGATATATATATGATCACAAAGCTGCACAAATTGCATATAGGTTTAGAAAAAGAGGAACAAGAGAGTTGCATTTTCCATGAAAAAAACTAAACAAGTGTGTCACATTTTAATTGCGCTACTTTCTGTAAATTTAGCTTTTCGGTATGAATACTCAAACTATTCTTTTGACATGTTCTCTAATGAAACTTGGGTGGATATGTATTTATAGCTTATAATCCACCTGTTTCTCAATGTTAAGCAGACTAATGTACTGTTTGAAGACACTGTAGATGTGGTATGAGGCAACTATGTTTCAAGGAGATCTGTGAATTTTAGGGAGGACAATTTATGTTGTATATTTGTTATTGTAACTTACAGTATGAATACAGTTATAATAAAAAGTCACTATACTAGCAAATCTAAAAAAAAAACTAATATTGTAAAAGTTTGTTGTTGTTTTTTTTAAATTTCAAATAATTTAATTTTAAAATGTAAAGTGTACTATGTCCTGAATTCATTACATGGTGAAACATTGCAATTTTTTGTTTTAATTGTGTTGATATGGATTTTAGCTCATGAAAATCTGAAGATTACTATTCAGTCAGTGTAAATATTGTGCATGTCTCAGTCTAGTTCAATACATGCAACCACAATCATGGGAAAGACTGCTGAGTTGACAGTTGTCCAGATGATCATCAACGCCCTCCCCAAGGAGGGCAAGCCACAGGAAATCATTGGTTAAAAAAACTTGCTGTTCCCAGAGTGTTACATGAAAGCATATTAATGGTAAGCTGACAGAGGGGGGAAAAATGCGGTAGGAAAAGTAACTGGGATGACCACAGCCTTGAGAGTAAAGTTGAGCCAAGAAATTGGGTGAATTTCACAAGGAGTGGACAGAGGCTGGTGTTAGTGCATCAGGAGCCAACAAAGCACAGTCTTTGGCAAAGGAGCTACAACTGTCGCATTCATAATATCAGTCATATCCTGAATCGGAGACAGTATCAAAGGAGACTTATGTGCTGAGGAGAAAAAGAACTGGACTTTTGCTCAGGGGGACAAAATCCTCTTTTCAGGTGAAAGTAGAAGTTTATTTGGGAACTTAAGTTCTAGAATCTGAAGAAAAACCATAGAGGCACTGAATCCAAGGTGTTGGAAGTCCAGCGGGACGTTTCCACAGTCTGATGATTTGGGGTGCCATTTTTTCTTTTGGTGCTTTTTGTGCTTAGTCCAGTCAAAGTCAGTGCAGCTGTCTACCAGATTTTTAGACTACTCCATGCACACATCTGCTGACAAGCTTTATGGTGATGCTGGTTTCCTTTTCCAGCAGAACTCATCACCTGCCCACAGTGTCTCATGCCAAATGCCAGAAAGTTGATTCTATTCATCTAGTTGTAGTGTTTTTAGTGGGAGAGACATTTTGTCACTCATCTAAGTGACGAATGCTCCAGATGATCATGGATGATTGAGCATGCATCAAGACTCTGCTACCAAATGGTTTGGTAACTATGGCATTACCATGCTTGACTGGCCAGCCAACTCTATTGCATCTGACCTTAACCCCACAGATAAACTATGAGGAAGACAAGAAACACCTGAACCAAAAATAAAGACAGGCTAAAGCCGTGCTTGCGGCACTGCCGAAGTGTTCAGTAACACCTCAGCAGTGCCACAAGCTAATTGCTTCGATGCCACACTCCACTGATGCAGTATTTAGTGGTAAAGGAGCTCAAAGTATTGTGTATTAATGAACGTACTTGTCAGAAGTTGGATATTTCTTATGGTAAATTCTTTTTCAATTTGAAAAAATGTTATTAATTTGAGATACTGGATTTCTGATTTTTATAAGCTATGAATTATTGTCATTAAAAAAATAAAACAAATAAGGCTTGAAATATTTGCCTGTTTTGTGTATATAAAATATATGGCAGTGGGTTATGTAAAATTGTATTATGTAGTTTGATCTTAACCATAAAAAATGTTATTTTAATTAACTGTTTTCCTTTCCCCTCTCATCTTCAGTACAGAGTATGGTTACGGTCAAGTTTCCGTCCCAGTCCATTCAATGACCAGGAGCAGGTGGGTGCCCTGCTGAGCCAGTACACAGAGCAACAGCAGAGCCAGAAGAGGGGAGGTGATCACAGCTGGATAACTGTCAGTGACTACCCATCCATGCGATCCAATGCTGATGCTGATGGTGATGATGAAGGAAGCGGCTGAAACACAAGTCTGGTCATGCCAAACTTGTTCCCATTGCTGCCTGGAAATAGGCAGCACCCACTATTCTGTACTCATTTCCAAATCAACCCTCAGTCATATCTAACCTACATGTATTCATACAACTCTAAAAGCATAAGATAATATCGAGCACTTTTTACTTTATTCGCGTCTGTTTTTTTAAGAAGAGATGGAGGTTGATTTAGAATTGTGCTACAGACCTATAACCACTACCAGTACCCGCCACAGTCCCTTACAACCAAAACAGGGGTATTGGTGCTCACAGACGCCTTACTCTAAACACCTCAGCACCTTAGCCATGATGAGTGATGACCTTTGTTTCCACATGGACTCCTGCAATGTTCAGCTCAGCAGCCTTAATGCCATAATCAACTAACGGCATCTTAAATGAACATTTTGCCTATAGTTATATAAATATCTAGTCTGTTAAATCTCAGTTAAATCTAAAACCAAACTGATGGTTGATTTGATACGTACAAGTTTGCATATCAGCACTGCTTTTTGTGTTTGTAGGTTTGACAGCATGAAATTTGTTGTTACATTCATCCTACCTATAAATAGCTGCAACATACATCATAAGCATTGTACTAGCCACCTACAAAGATCACAAAACAATGAGTTTATCACTGCCTATGTAATTTACAGTATTCATGTTGACATAGTTGGATACTGCTCTTTCAGTATAGTTAGCACTTTCACTTTCATTTGGTTCATCGTAGAGAAAATTCCAAGCTGTGTACACACCACTTGTACCAATATTTGTTACAAAATCTAGTATCAGAAATCCACACCAAAACAACAAAACAAGTCTTTATATAAACTAGCAGAATATTGTGAGGCTAAAAAGAAAACTGTTATCAGTTCCCAGCAATTATTTCTTCTTTGCATTCATTGCAGGGCTGAGAGGACTGGTACTAAGTTATCCCTCACAAGGCACACAGGATTAAAGAAGAGCCAAACCTTTTTAAGTAGGTTGACACACGGAGACCGCACTGTGGACATTACAAATAAACCACTATGAGTGACACCTAAAAATATATTGAAAACAAGGCAAAATGTTCCTTTAAGTTTATTAACAGCAGGTTAAATTTGGGAATTTGAATTTAAAGTATAACTACATATTCAGGATGTCTGTAGTCCAAATGTTAAAGTCTTCCTGATTTTACCGAAGCTCTGATGTTATCTCTTTACTGTGTCAAAACAGATTTTTAAAGAATTTCTGTTTATAGTTTTGTGGATAATGTTTGTTGTCCTAATTGTGTATTTATGGTGTTTTGTTTGTTGTGTTTTATAATGAAATGCAGTGATGGAGAAATAATGGAATTGTTAATAAATCCACCCTATGAAGATAACTGTGTGTCTTTGTCTTTATAGTAAAGCATAAAAAGCAGATTTAGCTTGAGATGTATATTTGAGGATAAAACGTTACAATGGTTAAAATAATGAAATTAATTTCATTTTTTTCCTTAAGGTTTTCATTGTTTGACATAATGAAATAAATATCAGTCTAAAATAAGGATTACGTTATGAAGCCAGCCTTCCAAGAAGTGAAGCGTAAGTCTTTCCTTGGAAATTATTCCTGCTGGGCCGGTGGGGTTACTTCCAGTTTCCTCCTCTAAACAGCAGTATATCATTGAAAGTGTGTATTTACTTAATATTCCTGTACACACCAAGTGGGGTGGGGGGATTTTTGTAATCACATAGGCATGTCCAGACAGGTTAACTGTTGGCAGGATTTCCAGAACCTTACAGTTCAGCAAAATATTAAAATGCTAACTGGAAGCCTTCTGTTAGGACATGTATAATGAATTGAACTGTCAGTGCGCCCCAGCGTGGCTGTGGCAACAATGTAGCTTGCCATCACCAGTGTGTGAATGGGTGGATGACTGGATGTGTAAAGCGCTTTGGGGTCCTTAGGACTAGTAAACAAATACAGGCCATTTACCATTTTACCATAACTGAATCCCAACTACATCTACCAAGTCTTGTTTTTTATCAGATGATGAAATTATTTAAATCACTCTACATGTGCATAAAGAATCGAGTATTTAATTAGCTTGCTACTTTATTTTTTTGTATTCTACATTTTTGGTGTACACAAATTCATATAAGCCTATGTTCATATAAAAGTGAGAAGCAGATTGATGTTTCTGTTTGAAATCTTAGTTCAAATATGACAGTAAGTGTCAGTTTCTGTAATAAACAGGCACATTAGTCCCTAAATGATGTCACAGGGATTTCATGATGGACAGAGAATAACAGTAAATGTTTTTACTGGGAAAAATAATAGTTAATGTTTTGCTTTAATAATACGCTGCGGTTCCCCGTTTTGAGCCTAATATTTCACATATAATCACGATCATTTTAAATAACGGTAACGGTGTAACATCTTCCAGGTGTCTCTGACACATGGAATCAGTCCACCTCACCATCGCACTGACAGCTGACCAGTTTTACCTGCACAACCTTCTAAACTTTCTCATCGGAGGATGAGTGGGCGCAGAAGGGATATAGTACCTTGGTCTGGAGAGTAGAAATCCCCTCAAAGCACAAGGTAACTTGTGACTTTACGGGTTTATTCATAGCGCCGCGTCCACGCAGCTTTTAGCGTAGGCAGTAACTTTATAACCATCGTCTGTGTCAGGCCATTTCTTGTAAATGCCCACGGTTAGAAGAAAAAGTCTTCCGGTATGGGCAGTCTTACTGAAGCGTCAGTACTCGTCATTGGTCAGAGTGTGGCAGCGTTGTCAAATCCTACCACAGATTTATTCATTCATGACACGGGGCACGAAAAAGTTTAAAGGCATGCGTTTCGGAGAGCTCACTTGATTAAATCTGACAGTGCGCATTCTATCAAGATCACAACCCCGTGCCAAGAGCTTATCTACCTGTCAATCTGTAAGTGCCTTTGATTTTAATCTCTCTTTTTAAAAAAGACGATAGCGCTTTATAAACTTCGGCTCGAATAAGACATTTTCATAATATCTTAAAGAAAGTTAACTTATACTATTTAACGAACTTTACGCGACATTTTCCACATATAGATATAAGCGCGCCATCTAAAAAGAGAGTTTCCACCATCAAGATGTCAAACACGGGAGGTCGGCGACTGAAGCAGTGGCTGATGGAGCAGATCCAAAGTGCGCAGTATTCTGGACTCCTGTGGGAGGATGAAAGCCGCACTATGTTCCGAATTCCATGGAAACACGCAGGAAAACAGGATTACAACCAAGAAATAGACGCATCCATTTTTAAGGTTTGTCTCATTTTGCCCCATTTAAAGATTGTTTTGTTTTTTGTTTTGTTTTTTTGCGCGCTAAAACCAGAACTGGTGTGATTCTTAAAGCTGTCCAACACTTCTCCTCTTACTGTAAGGCTGATTCTTGTGTGTGATTTAAACTATTAAAATAATTTTTCACTTTTTTTTCTTTTTGTCCTTTTAGTGCATTTTTACCTTAGAGTTATTATCTTATGAAGTGTCGATATATTTTAATGCATTGTGGTGTAGCTATATAACTTAGATTTTCTTTCTTTCATTCTTTTTTCTTTCTTTCTCAAGAACAGTTTACAAAAATGATGTACATGTCTCTTCTTAAATTCTTACGGTTTAATCCAGTACAATCATATACTTTTCTTTGTATCCTCAAGGCCTGGGCTGTGTTTAAAGGCAAGTATAAGGAGGGGGACAAGGCTGAGCCTGCAACATGGAAGACCAGACTTCGCTGCGCTCTGAATAAAAGCCCTGACTTCGAGGAGGTGACTGAGAGGTCACAGCTTGATATTTCTGAGCCTTATAAAGTGTACCGCATTGTTCCAGAAGAAGAGCAAAAACGTGAGTTTGTGTTATCTCACAGTACACAGCATACCTCACAATACACTCTGTTATCTCTAGCAGTTAGCAAAATCACTTTTTCATTTGTGATTAGAACTGAGAGCAAAATACTTATTACAGACTGTAGTTCCTATAGCAGTGAATAATTAAAAGAGTATATATGTACTTTGAACCGACTCATTGTGTACTATTCTTTCACCCACAGACGGCAAAAGTTCAGTGATGGCTGTGACAGCTACCACCAGCTCTGGTGAGATCACAGATATGGACTGCAACCCCGAGCTAGAAGAGCTCATTAAAGAGGTGAGATGATGTCTAACTTTAAAGTCTTTTTTTCATTCCACCCCACCTCCCACATATATTTAGATGCACTTAGCCTTTATTGTCACTTAGCTTTCTTGTCACTTTTTTTCCCCCTTACCACACTGTGCCGTCTCCTGCAGCACTTCGCGCACTTCACGGGGTTCACGCTTGTTACACTCAGCATGAAAACCGTCCCACTTCTTCACAGCTGTAAAGTGTACAAAGGTGCTTTTGATAACATCTTATTATATTATTGTCCTTTTGCAGGAGGAAAGCTGTAGCATCCAAGCCAGTCCAGAATATTGGTCCCAGGGCAGTGTCAATGGTAAGATTATACTTTGTACCCAGTTTACAATGCAACACACAGCTAGATTAAATGGAGCTATTCACAGCACTGGGTCTTTTGTCTCAGCCTTCATATATCACACTGTTGTTGTGACACCACTTTTGAGAGACATAAGTTTGAATTTATTCACAAAATAACCCCAGCGGAAAACTCAGTGTCTCTGCATTTGTGGGTGCTAAATGGAGGTTATTTACTTGACTGTTGAATTCTGCAATGGAAGAATTGACTAACATCCTGTAAAACTTTGCTGACTCTTGTGATTATTTCTTCGTGAGATTGTAATAGAGAAATGGCATTTCTGATGACGCAGCAAAGTAAAGACATGACACTGTGGTTGTGTCCACTGCCTTGAAAAAAGGCCTTAACCCACCTCTTCCTCCTCTAATTCACAGCTTTCCCACTGCATCAGGAACCTTTGCCATCGAGCAGTCTCAGTTCAGGTATTTGCTTATTGTTATCCATGACCTTATATCATCTACTTGTAAACAAGCTTTCAGCTTCCATATTTTTGTTACATTTGTACGTATTTGTTTTCATTTCTGAATCTGACCAAATGTTTTCTTCTATAGCCCTCTGCCAAATGATGATCAGTTTTTACTATGGAGGAAAGCTGATGCACTCCACACTGGTGACTCATCCTGAAGGATGCCGAATCTCTCCGCAGCATCCCCTGGGTCGGGGTGCCCTCTACAGTTCAGACAGCATGCAGAGTGTTTATTTCCCCCCTGCTGAACTCATTGAGTATGAACGGCAGCGCTATGTCACGCGCAAGCTTCTGGGCCACCTGGAGAGAGGTGTATTGGTCCGTGCAAACCAAGACGGCATCTACATCAAAAGGCTGTGCCAGAGCCGTGTCTTCTGGAGCGGATTGGGAGATGTGGGCTCGCAATATGGCTCAATGCCTGGCAAACTCGACAGGGATGCTGTTGTCAAGATCTTTGATACAGCAAGGTTTCTTCAAGGTGAGGCTCTATATTGGTTCCATATTTTGGATTTACAGAAAAATACAGCTTTGTTTTCTATTTCTTTCGCTTAAAGGAAGTAAGACTAGATACTGATAATTTGCGAAGATTATCTAAACAGCCGTTCGTTTGTTTTATATGCTCCAGCTCTACAGCTGTACCAGGAGGGTCAGATTCCTGCTCCTGATCCAACAGTGACTCTGTGTTTTGGAGAAGAGTTGCATGATCACAACAGTGCCAAAAACAAACTGATCATCGTCCAGGTAAGACGTGTGAAATGATAACATGTTTCACTCAGAGTGCTGACTAGTAAAGCATTAGAAATATCACTTTATTTTTGAGCCTTGATAGTTTTTAAACAAGAGCTAGTTATGGCTTTATTCTGAGAAAAAACTAAAAACATAATTTTTGGGGGTTTTTTTCTCCTCATGGCAGATCACTTCAGTGAACTGCCAGCACGTGCTTGAGACAATGAACATGCGTCGTGCCCAGCCTTATTGCAACAACCCAAACCTAGAGATGTCTGATGATGCGGCCACTGACCAGATGGCTCGCATCTACCAGGATCTGTGCAGCTACAGTGCTCCTCAAAGGCCAACTTACAGGGACAACATGCCAATCACTGCCTAAGATGTGAGCAGTAATACCTGACAAGAGCTCTTCAGCTTGCTCTAAACTGAATACAGAACATAAGAAGAACATTCTTTGCTTTTCTAACACACGCTGGCGAGCCAAACGTGAAAGAGCACATTTCTTCTTTGACTATAAGACTTTAAAGCTGAAGCTCCATATTAGAAAGTCGACAAATTTTTCTATACAAGTAATGTTTACTTTTGTGTAAATACAGGGCATAACTCTGCCTAACGTCTGATTCATTTTTGTAAGATGTTTTTTTATTATCCAACTTAAGAGAACAGGTAGCATATTCATGCATGTTCAAATACTGTATTTCCTACAACTCAAGTCTTTATAGATACAAATCTTTCATATCTATAAAGATTTCTATTCAAAGTCTTTTTGCAAAATGGCAGCAGTTTGATATATAAAAGCAATTTAGTTTGCTACACTGAATTTTATTTTTGATATTCTATCTTTTTTGTACTTTTTGAGTTTCTTTCTTGTTTGACAACCAGCTGAATAAACAACCAAATTTTTATCAAGTGTTGAGTTGATAAAAGTTGCATAAAGTTTTAGATGCAAAGTGGCATTTAATGAAAGATAGGTTTTACTATCAGACTTTTTAAATGATTGATCTTTAGTTCAACCTTTTGTAGACCGTGTTTCAAATAAAACCTTTTTTACTGAACTACATTTGTATTCATTTGTGTGCAATCATACTTATGTGTTGTTTAAAAAGGACTATTTTGCAAAAATGGCCTGTAGAGAAAGTACTATTGTTCAGATCAAGGAAATTACATGAAATAATGATATATGTGTTAAAATGATGCCAGCATATTCTCAAAGCACACTGTAATGAAACCAGGGATTCCATTTTATTATCCTATGCTTGGTAGTCCAGGAATGGTTGGTATTGCAAGCTAAAGTACGCACAATCTAAGCACTTATTGAATTTCCTTCATTTTTTTGAGCACTATTTCAGTGACAGTTTGTCAAAATGGAGAAAATAGAAAGAGAGGCAATCTTACCAGTGTAGAGAACAAAAACTTAGTCCAAACTACTCACAGTTTATAACTAGTATGAACTCAAGCCCTACTCACACAGGCCTAGAGACTGGTCTGGAACACTGTAACAATGGTTTCCCTGAAAATGAGTTTCCCTGACCAGTTGATTAGCTGGAGGTTCCTGGCTGTCACCAGTTGAAATCAGCTCCACAGAGGGTGCTGTGCCAAAAAGCTACCTTGTGATTCATTCAAAGTTTGCAAAGTTTGCATGGAAACACTAACTTGTCTGCAAATACTTGCTAGTCACTCTTCAAGCTATAGTAAAATTTTAAAAGGTGCAACTTTTGAAATGCTTTGGTTGCAGTAGTGAGACTTAGCTTTTACTTCGAAAGCAAAAGGTCTATTAGTAACTGCAGCAACCTGCTATGAATCAAAGCAATCACAAGGAGGTTTTATGTCTTTGCAACCAATTTCATGCAAACAGCTTCTACCAGCCTCCAGCAGCCACTTATCAATTGGTTACGGCCACACTTTTCCCCAGCAACTGGTGGTTACTAGATGGTTGCCGACAGGTTGCCTGTGTGACTAAAGCTTTAAATCAGTTTGCTGTAAACTTTGTTAAGTGGTTTACCAAAACCCTTGTGCTCACTTAAAACAAATATTCCCACGCTAAGGTTAAGAGCTCCACAGGGTTCTTTGCTAGGACCAGTTCTGTTCATATTATACATGCATTCCTTAGGCAGTATTATTAGCAGTGATAGCATACATTTCCACCTCTATTCAGCCCAGCTTTATCTATTCTTAAAGCCAGACGACACATACCAATTAGTCAAACTGCTTGAATATCTTAAAGACCTGGATGGCCTCTAATTTTTGGCTTCTAAATTAAGATAAAACTGAGGTTATTGTGCTCGGGCCTTAAAAATCGTAGAAATATGGTTTCTAACCAGATGCTTTAAATCGCATTACTTTGGCCTCCAGCAACACTGTGAGGAATCTTGGAGTAATTTGGACCAGGATATTTCCTTCAGTCTGTATATTGAACAAATATGTAGGATTGCTTTCTTCCATTTGCACAATATCTCTAAAACTAGAAACATCCTGTGTTAGAGTGATACTGAAAAACTAGTTCATGCATTTATTACTTCAAGGCTAGACTACTGTAGTTTGTTATGAGCAGAGTATACTAGCTTCTCTTCACGAGCTCTTTGTTAAATTCAGAATTGAATTTAAAATCGTTCTTGTCACATACAACGTCCGTTGAAGACCTCGTAGTACAGTATCACTGGAGACAGTCACCCTCTCTACTTTTAAGATTAGGCTTAAAACTTTCCTTTATGACAAAGCATGTGGTTAGGGGTGGATCAGGTGACACTGAATCCTCCCTTAGTTATGCCGCAATAAGTCTAGATTGCTGGGGGCTTCCCATGAGGCACTGAGTATTTCTTCTTCACTCACCTTTTTCACTCACTATCTATTTATAAACTACTCTGCATTTAATTATTAATTATTATGAATCTATGACTCTTTTCCAAAGAATGTCTTTGTTCTCTCTTCCTGTTAAAACTGAGTTTTTCCTTTCCACTGTTGCCAAAGCACTTGCTCATAAGGAGTCATATGATTGTTGGGTTTCTGTATTAATGTAGGTTACTTGCAATAAAAAACAAAAACAAAAGAACAAATTAAAAAACAGCAACTTTATCCTAAGATCAAAGTAATGAGCCTCATGACCTTAACTATGCCAAAGCTACAAGTTTGGAGCGTGTGGCTGTTCAGTTCTGCAAACTGGAGTTCTTCTTCTTCCATATGTTTACACTGTTGGTGTCTTTTGGATTATTTTTAATATTATAATCTTAGAAATAATATCACTGGGGTTTTTTGTGTTGTTTTGTTTTTGGTGCATACTTATATGTAGGAATGCCTCGACAGTCTATGGATGCAGCTTGCTAATCAAGCTTGTTAGTATTAGCTAATAACTTAGCATTTCACCCTGTCATCTAAATAGGGTTATTTCTGGCTCCAAAGAACAAGATGCTGGAGGCAATAACACTAAAGTTGAAACTTCCAATGGGAATTCACAAACCAGTAACTGACTAGGCCGCTTCCATCTTTTATATATAGGTTATGACTTGATTCTACACCCAAATGGTAAACTGATACCAGACATTTATTTTTGGTATCACAATCTGATACCAGAAACAAAAGCAAAATTAGTGTTTGTGATGAATTACCCACCTCATGTAAGTTTCCAGGCCTCTAAACTGTACTGAAACATAAGTTGACCACTACTGCATGTCAGTTGGGAAATAACAAACAACAAACAATAATCTTGGTCATTATTTAGTATAGACTTTAGAAACTGAAAAAGAAATAGGAATGTATGTATTTTAAAATGTTTACCTACAGTAACTGCAAATGATTGTGAAGATAAAGTGATTAAAAACAAATAACATATGAGGACATAAGGATCCATATACACTTCTTGTGAAACAACACTTAACCATGTTATTGAGTTTGAAAATTGTTAAATCATTATAAAAGCAACTACCCATGAATCTTGCCACTTACTTTGTCACAGTGACAGCAGCAAAAGTATATTTAGAGGGAACACCTCCACTACTAAAATGGTCATTTACTATGAACACACAATGTTTATGGCTCTGGCTTAGAAATGATGAAACTAAGATGCAATCTGAAACTAAAAGAGGGATCTAGACAACATATGTCAGGGAATCTCTCAACTGCTCCTTCCCCACACACACAAACATCTTCCCAGTGAGTAATGATGACAAAAGACAGGAAGAGAAGGAATTAACTGCTACCATTAAATGAGCAAATGATTCCCAATAAGACAATGACATTCATTCTTCTTCTTCATCTACTTCTTGTTCTGTGTTTCACACAGTTGGTCACTGTGGGCCATGATTGTATCAGACAAGGCGTTAAACTGGGTATATGGTGTCATTATTGGTAGGGAAGTGTGTACAGTATGATTAAATTAAAGCATCTTGGATAGAGTGATAGTGGTTTTCAGGGGGGCTCATGTAGAGCATCTGCAGTGATTTCTATCAGAGAATCATGTCTGTTTTTAACACAGTGTCATCCAAGAGATCTCTTGTAATTATGTTATTTTGATGTTAAATAACCAGTCAATTTCATCATTATTGAATTAAAATTCAAAATAAGCATGTACACTATTGAGCCTCTTCATTAGGTACACCTATTCAATTGTTAATGCAAAAATGAAATCAGTCGACCATATGGCAGCAAGTCAGTGCGTTTAGGCACGCAGGTATAATAATGAAGTGACTGGACTTCAGCAGTTGAAACACACCATCAGAATAGGGAAGAAAGGTAATTTAAGTGACTTTGGATGCGACATGGTGTTGATGCCAGATGGGCTAGTCTGAGTATTTCAGAAACTGCTCATGTACTGGGATTTTCCCACACAACCATCTCTAGGGTTTACAAATAATGGGCAAAAAAAAAAGAAAGACAGAAAAAAAGGAGAAAATATAGCAGCAGATCTGTTTGCGAAAATGCCTCACAGGTCAGAGGTGAATGGCCAGATTGCTTTAAGCTGTTAGGAAAGCAACAGTAAGTAAAAACACCACTCATTACAACCAGGATAAGCAGAAGAACATTTCTGAATGCACAACTTGAAACAGAAGACCATGCTAGAGGCCACTTAGGTCAGCTAAGGACAGGAAATTGAGGCTTTAGGATGTTGTGCAAAAAGGGAGATTGGCATGGATATGCAGCAACTGTGTGATGACTGTGTGATGCCGTCATGTCAGGATGGACCGAAATCTCTCAGGAATGTTTCCAGCACCTTGTTGAGCATATTGCATGAAGCACTTCTGAAGGCAAAAGGCAAAGTGTATCTAATATAGTGGCCAGTGTTTATAGTTTCCAAAACAAACAAAATTTCAGCTTCAGCTCTGCTGTTTTGTACTTCCAAAGAAAATCAAATATCAGGTTAAATTTAATTCCAGATCACTGCATTTAATCACATACATTTTCAGGAATGTTGATGGGTCCCTGTGACATGAAAATTATTAGTACACACACAGTTTGTGTGTGTATGTATTTTCGGTTCCCTAATACGAAAAGCATTGGTTACTATGGTAGTCATTGTATTGTACTCACTCACTACACCATATCGTGCACATATATTGTTTTCATTAAGTTAAGAACCTAAAGTAAAAGAAAAAGTAGTTCAAAGTGGAATTTACAGGAATAGAGAGAGAACAAATACGTGTAAATAGGCCAAAAAGCAAGTTTTAACAAATAAGCAATAATTGCAATCATAAACATAAACACAGACCACAAGTACAAGCCATTGGTTGAAAAGAATAATTATAGACCCAACATCATACATTTTTAGTATGTAGATGCTTCTGGGTACCAGGGATGGGTAAGACTTGAAATAGCTTTTAATAATGACAAGCAGATTTGCTGCAATGACTCACACAAAAATCACCCAATTAAAGGAGTCATGTGCTCTTCATATGACATCTCTGGATAAAACCTTTCACTTAAATTAGAATATTGAATGGTTCATTGAATAAAAACACAGGTGGAATACTGTGTCTGTCTGTGTGTGCTTGTGGTTATTTACATGGGGGAGTACTGTCTAAGTTCCACAGAACAGGAACTTACTTCAAAAACTGTCACAGGAAACTGATTTCACCCCCTCCACCCTCAAATACCTTGTTAGACACTAGAAGAAACTAATTTATATTTTTTAGGTATTTTACACTTTCTTGTGATTATACACATGAATGACAAATGAGTGTCAGTTTAATTTGAAAACATGCTCAGTCCATCCAGAACATCAAAGTTTAATGAGGCTCTCCCCAGCTATAGCCTTCTTGAAGCTTTAAAATGTAATAACTCTGATTGGGATTAATTATTTGCAAGGTCATCTAGTTTTTCTTTCTGTTGGTAAAGATTATTTTAGTGTTTATTGTTCTGCTGAAGTGTCAGCCACATTGTTAAACTGCTAGATAAACACATATTATTACTTTGTCAGCATTTACAGAATATGCTTTTAGGAAAAACTGTATAGTAAATTTGCAGCTGCACCCAGAAAACAGCAAGGTTAGCCTAAAAAGTGGACAGTAAATCGGTCTAACGGTAAAACTGGTAGCATGGCTTTTCAGTTCTACAGGTTACTGTTGTTGTTTCTTAAAATGTCTGGCATTGAACTTACAGAGCTTTTAGGAGTGC